GTCTATACACACAATTTTAGCCTTAACACACATAAAAAAGAACACACCCAACCAAACATAAAATACAAAAAACAAAGCAACCCTAAATGCAACGCAACAAATCACGACACTAAACCACCAACCTACTGCCATTTCGAATTATTTTCATGTCATTTCAGCAGCAAATCGGTTATTCCACGGCAATATTACCCTTTGTAAAGCGACACAGACCAACCCTCTCAATTTAATAATCTTCCTACAGCATAAGGAGGCGAGGAACTTATCGAAAACCATGATTGGAGTGCTGTTGGAGCAAACAGATGGTGACGAAGAGCAGAGGTTGTTGCGGCGTAGATGCTGGACCAACGACAGAGGCAAAATGGAGAAGTTAGAGTTTGAAATTGCAATCCAAACAAATCACGTTGCAACCATAACAGTAACCAAAAATGCAGTTCATACACACAATTTCAGCAATTTTAGCCCTAATACACATAAAAAAGAACACACCCACCCAAACCTTAAATAGAAAAAACAAAGAAACCCTAACTCAAACACAACAAATCACGACATTAAACCCTAAACCCTACTACCATTTCAAACTATTTTCATGTAATTTCAGCATCAAATCAGTTATTCCACGGCAATATTACCCTCTCTAAAGTGAAACAAACCAACCCTCTCAATTTAATAATCTTCCTACACTATAAGAAGGCGATGAACTTACTGATAATCGCGATTAAAGTACTGTCTGGAGCAAACAGAGGGCGACGAAGACTCGACGTTGTTGTGGCAGAGATGGTGGACCAACAGCAAAGGCAAAATGGACAAGTTAGGGTTTAGGGTTTCAATCCAAACAAATCATGCAACATACAAAGGAAAGAGGGCAAAGGACTTATCGAAAATAGCGGTCAAACTGACGAACTGGCGAACGAGATCGATGAGAAGAAGACTCCAGCGACGGCGAACAAGTTTTAGCATAGAAAAGGAAATCGTACCTGTTTGTGCGATTTTGAAATTTTTTTTTCTTTTCTACTGTAGTTTTAATGAAGTTCAAGGGCATATTGGTCACAATATGCAAATATCTGAGGATAATATGGGTACACCAATCTTCGTGGCATTTCTTAAAAAAATGATAAAAAGCAGGACAGTTTTGTCCGGAAAATCAAAAAACTGAGGACAAATATGTCTCTTTGTGCAAATTGGCTATTTTGTAATTATTAACAAACCAAAGGATATTTTCGTCCGCATAATCCACTGTTTAGGGGCAAGATTGGACAGAAATTATGATTATCGAAGTAATGTTTTAATAACAGCTCCCCCTCAGGTAATATTATTCCCGGTAATTTACCTCCTTTTTGGCACCGTTTGTCATCTTATTTTTCGGAATGTTTTTGTACAAAAATGTCAAACATGGTTATCTGCTCAATTAAACAAATATTACCCATTTTAAAAAATTTCAAACCAATCCAAACGGGCCCCCTAGGTAATCTTTAAATACCACCTCTTGAGGTGGTAATCTGATTACTCCCTATTTTACTAATAGTAATCACTATTAGGATTGAAAGTTTACCATAATCTTTTATTACTTTGAAACCAAACAATGGAATGTCCAGAATCAAAGATAGATTATCGGAGTAATCTTTCCATTGCCCTAACCAAACACAACCTAGGCGTTTTTACATATACCTAGAACTAATAATATTTACTCCCTAATTAGTTTTCCAAATTTCATCCCTAAAAATGCATTTTTCACAATCGATGATAAAATCATATTTCATCCCTAATAAATTTCCAAATTTTGTACAATTAGAGACAAAAAATTTCGTCCTAGAAAAACAGGCTTTTAGCTACAAAAATTTTCATCCAAAAATAATAAATTTCGTCCCAAAATGATTTCTCTCTATATTATTTCATCATTTCCTCCAAATGACATTGTTGGTGGGGGTGCAAATTGAGTGCTAAGCATTTTTTGATGAAATTACAATTTCGTCCCCTAAAATGACAATTCTGGGATGAAACTGAATTCGTCCCTAAATTAAACATTTGTTGTAGTTCCAAATTTTACCCCTAAAAATGTATTTTTCAAAATATATGAAAAAATAATATTTCGTCCCTAATGAATTTTCCAAATTTTGTACAGTTAGAGACAAAAAAAATTTGTCCCAGAAGAAAAAGGTTTTTAGCCACAAAATTGTTCGTCCAAAAATAATAATTTTCGTCCCTCAAAATGTATTTTTACAATCGAGGACAAAATTATATTTCGTCCCTAATAAGTTTTCCAAATTTTATACAATTAGAAACAAAAAATTTCATCCTAGAAAAAGAAGGTTTTTAGCTACAAAATTTTTCATCCAGAAATAATAAATTTCGTCCCAGAATGATTTCCCTCCATATTATTCCATCCTTCTCTCCAAATGGCATTGTTGGCGTGGGTTGGAAATTTAGTGCTAAGCATTTTGTGACGAAATTATAATTTCATTCCCTAAAATGACCATTCTGGGACAAAACTAAATTTGTCCCTAAATATTTCATCCCTAAATTTAATATTTGTTGTAGTGAAGGCCTGGGTCAGGTCTACCTCAAATTCTATCAAAGTATAACTAACTCCAAGAGATCAAAAACTCTAAAAACTGGTGGCCAATGTCCTTCATTCAATTCCTGATAGCATTCTAAGACATAAGGATCACATAGTTGTTCCAACTACATCATACTGGTGTAAGAAAATAACAGAAGAGTTTTTTTCTTCTCTGCTGGCTTATCATTCAAGAATTTTGCCAACTTATAAGTGCATTTCAATAAATTTTTACTTGCATGGTGTTGACACTTGATTTTGGATGCCAACGACTTGCACATGCAAAACGCTAAGAGGGTTTTAGAAATTACATGTGATGGATTCATGAGATTTGAATATGGAGCTAAGATTATATATGTTGCAGAAAACATAAATAATAGGCTAACAAGAGAGGTTTTTATAGTGGTTCGGATGCTTAAACAAGCAACTCCTACATCCACTGTTATTTTATTGATCTCTGACTATTTCTATGATATTGCCCGTAAGGCATACAAAGATGAAAAAATACAGTGTTTACAGAGAGAAAGAATTGGGCTCAAATCTATGTCTAGCTCTCATATGCCTAGCCTTCCTTTTCGGGAAGAGAATTGTCAATTTATACACCTTTGAGGTTAGTGTAATGAGTGTTTTGCAAGTTGTCTTGACACATAGAAGGCTCTCGTCCATTCATCTCTTGAAATGAGATAGGGTTGGTATGAATATCTTTGAGCAGATATGGACTTGGCAGCTAGTACAAAAAGATATTTATTGAGCAGACATAAGCATGACTTTATAGACATAACACATGGCATAAAAAAGTTTATTAAAATGCATGTGTTATTCGCCAATGAAATAAGACTGAAACTTTGGCTTCACTTTAACCTTTCTCCGATCGCCCATTCCCTCTAAAGTTTGGTCTAATGAGTCAATGGATTTCATTAATGGACTCCCATCCTCTTAGCCCAAGACTTCAATTTTGTGGCTGTAATTAAACAAGTTTCCTCAAAATGTCACCAATCCAAGTTGGCTATGGCCTACTTCTACCATGTATTGAGACTTATATACCTGGTTCAACTTTGGTGAATCCTGTTGATCATGACTTTAAGAGAACGAGACTAGTTCCTTAAACATCTCACAACAAATTTGCAGCAAGGTCAATGTCGTATAAAGGACCAAGCTGATCAACATTGGACCAAGCGCACATTTTGTAGACTGGAGCTTTCTCTGTAATCTTGCATCCACCCTACCTTACATGTTTCTCAACTTAAAGAGCGCGTTGCAGATCATCCTTCCATTTTAGTTTACTTTTAAAACTTGTCCTAACCAAATAAATCTCCCCGCATTTTTTCCATTTTCACTTCAACCAAAAAAAAATTAAACTAACCAAAATTTGAAGGCTCGCTTAAAAATCCCTTGATACTCTTACATAATTGCATTGCGCCCTCTTAAAAAGTAATCCTATTTAATATCATTTATTTTTAGTTTTTAATTAATTCTTTGTATATTCTATACTAGTTTATCTTTTATTTTGTTATTTTATTTAACTAAAGTATTATCGATCTCTTTTTTTTTTAAAAAAAAATTTAAAATCTCGTTAAAGAGTTTTAATGAATCTATTTATGATTAAATATGATGTAGTTTTCACTTTCTTTTCTTCCTTATTTTTTATGTCTTGCTCTACTTGAACTTAATTATTATATCTCAATAGTTTAGAACAAAACAAATTTGAATAATAGAATTCATGTTTTTTTTAAGTATAAAATTTTAAATTATTATAACATGATGAAAAAATAATTATGTTATATAAACTATATATCCTTTAAATATTAATATTTCTATGGTACCCCTCTTATCAAAAATTTTAGGTCACTGATTACATGAGTAGTATGATTCTGTATATAGTTAAATTATGATTGGTAGTTTCCTAAAAAAATTCGTTTTATAATCCCAAAACTATTAAGAGTAGATTCTATATTTTTATGATCGTAGATTTGGATCATCTCTTCGTGTTTATTTGTTTATTTTGTTAACAAGATTGTGGGGATATATGAGTCTTTTATTATTGAAAGCTTTAAATTAGATTAATTCTTTTATTTTATTTATTTTTAAAAACTCATTGTTTACCTGATTTTATTTTATTCTCAAACAAAATTGTAAGTTCTAAATTGTAGTTCCCAAATGAAGATCTCTTCTACACTTCTGTTTTGCCCTCACTGCAAAGTCCAAAACTTTAAATCGACAACTAAAAGTGACCCTTTTATAATACAAATATTTCCAAAGTTTTGACAAAATTAGATAATGTGAGAATCCGAATCCAATATTCAAATTATTTTTTTATTGTTTTTAAACTTTTTTTTTTTTTTTTGAAATTGCATTTGAAAACCACTCTCAAATTCTAAATGTTTCTTTAAAGATTTTTGTCAATCCGAACATAAAAATAAATTTATCTCTCATCAATCTAAAGGATAAATTAATCACACAAACAAAACATTATATTACAAATTCAAAATTTGTTCACCTTACAATAATTAAATATATAGTAAATGTTTTAATTAACATGTTGCAACTTCAATTTCATCACATTACACGTTAATTATATAAGAAATTATTACACAAATTCAAAATTAATTCAATCAAACAAAATCATGCCTCCAACCATGACCACCTCCACCACCACCACTAAGAGGCAGCCTGCCCCAATCTTCAGCCCCACCACAATAATCCGGGCTAAGACCCGAAACCCGCCTCACTTGTACCCGGATCCCATTACTGTAACCTTGGCTTGGACTCCTTGGAGCTTGATAACTTGCTGTTCCACCACCAGAAGTGCTAGAAGAATCATAGCCTGAACCAAAAACTGATGTACTTTTTTTTGTTGATGTGTTCCATTGTGGTGTACTTGGAGTACTTCTTTGTTTGATAGTCCCTTGGTTAATGTTTTGACTTCTCAACTTCGCTTTCGCTGACTGCGTTGACGCCATGTAGCTTGGCTGTCTATGCTGCAGTTGGCGCGTTGAGTAAGAGTTAGAGTCTAGCAAGTCGCGGTCGAGCTGCATAGGTATGGCGGTGGCGGTTGCGTTGCTGGAGTCGATTTCAAGGGTTTTCTCCGATAACATGTCGTCGGTTGTGGAGGTGTTGGTGAGTGTCATGTATGAAGCTTCGTGTTGGGGTAAGTGACGGCTGTGATAGGGCTGCGCCGACATCCAACGCTCCAGCCAGTTCCATCCCCACTGCGCTCTTTCATGCTCCTGGCCATAGAGTTCAACAGCATCTTTGCCATTTGTGTGCTCAGGTTGTACGGGTTGCTGCTGATGTTGCTGCTGTTGCTGTTGATATTGTTGTTGCAATAAATTATGACATGAACATTAGCAATTTTTTGGAGGAATTGTAAAATAGACTATTCCTTTTGAATTATTCCTTTTATACTGTCTTGAATTTGGGAAAAAAAAAAATCGTTCTCAAATGCCAATTAAACATGCAAAAAGGGTTTATTTCATACACTCTTTCCCGAAAATTTTAGGTGCACCAAGATTAAAGAATCCTGCAATCCGTAACTTTTATAGCTAATAAACCATTTACCTGATAGGCATAAGCATAAGCAAGGGCTCTCTCTCTTTTCATCAAAGAATCATGTTTTCTTGAAGCATCTTCGCTGAGTTTCTCAGACTTTTGATGGCGGCCGCCACCATACTGCTTCAACGGGCTCCTGGGCTTGTTCAATTCTTCATCTTCTTCTTGTTTGTCTTCTGTCTTCCCTTTCTTGTGATGCTTCTCGTGAGACAATTGGAGCCTGCGTGCTCTTACTCTCGCCTGCACTCGCACCAGCGCTTGCATGCATCGCATTGTCATTTGCGCTTGCTTTCGCACATTGTGGCCTCTTACTAAGGCCTGTAGCCTCACCAATCCCTTTAACGCTCGCAAAGCTCGCCGAGCCTAAATAATTCAGTCATATAATTTCCTATCAAATAAAAAAGTAAAACAATCAATGTATTGATTCAAATTGAGAAGATTACAAGGTAGCCTCTGTAATGAGATTGAATCAGAGTTGCAGCGCGTTCTTCCTTGGAGTGGCGGCCATAACCAGCCAATCGAACAACCTTGGCTGCTGCTTGAGCTGCGGCAACAGCTGCTTCAGCTGCAGCAGCAGTTGCTACAGCAACGGCAATTGCATGATTTCTATCTTCAGAATTAGTCACCGGAGTTGATCCCGTGCTCTCATCAATTGTCACATCCGGTGAACTCCCTGCCGGATAATGTTCAAAAGACACTACCTCTGGGGCCTCTTGTAATTGCCATTTATCTACATTATCTTTCTGCAAAAAACCATCTCATTACTCAGTCTCAGCTGCATTAATATCCATTCTTACTGCATCACCCACCCACATGAATCATACTGTTCTAAGCCAGTAATATTACAGGGCCAATTTAAACCATTGGATATGATCAAATACGCAATCAACAAGTATTGTCGATCACATCCAATGGTTTATACTAGTCTGGTAACATTATGAAACCAATAATTCAAGCAACACAAGAATTGTAATGATATGATAATATTATCAAATTTAACATATGTTTTTTTTTTTTGTTTTTTTTTTTTTGGGTAACTCTAAATGTGGCATGATGGTGATGAGACTCATAAAGCACATGGATGATGTGATGGGTGAGGTGGCATGATAAGAAAATGTCAATGGAGGCCGTAACGTTTTATGGCCATGATGACAGGGGACCATACATTTCATATTAACGGCATATATGCGTCAATGGTCCTGGATGGCTCGATGGAGTAAAGTTTTAAGCTTTGGTGGTTGGTCTTCTTCAATATGATTTCCATATGCCCTCAATAATTGTTACCTTATCTTTATATGCATACAAATGATTCATACTTATTCAATAAAATTTATATATACCATCCATTTTCAATGTATATAATATATCTACATTTTTCAAAATTAGATCTTGTTCATTATCCTACATTCATGTTGAAAGATAAAATTTGGTGTCTTTTATATTCCAAAGTTTAATTATGGGCTTGTTGATGTAGAATTTAAATTTTTTTTTCTTGTTCTTAAAAACAATGGATACAAAAATCTTATCAAAATGTGTTAGTAAAAATGAGTTGAAATGTTTCTCAAAATAGTTTTCCCATACAATCTAAAAATTAGGACAAAATCAGAAAACAATTAAATGTCGTTTTCTACTATTTTTTATCAGAAAATAAATTTTGAATTTCATATCAAACACAATTTCAAATATTAAAAATATTAAGACATAACTCACATCTAAATCGTAATTTAGTTTTTAAAAATTATTTTCAGATTATAAATCAAACATGCCCCAAAATTTTGTTTTTATTTTTTTAGTATTAATAAGAGATTCGGATCTTGGAAAAGTGTGTCGTTTGAACTTTTGTATATATATTAAAAATTAATAATATTAGATAAATAAATAAATAAAAAGTAAATATACATGTAAATAAGGTTAAATTATTTATGTTGTTTAAAACTTCACTTGACCCGGTATGCATGCATGCATTGGCCGGCAAATTAGTATCAATGAAAAGGAATTTCACCAACATGTATTTATTTATTTATATTAATATATTTTTATTTAAATAAGGGTAAATTAATTATGTTATTTAAATGTTTGTTAGCTTCTAATTACTATTTATTAAATTCTAGAAATTCTATTTATTAGCTTCTAATTCACATGTTTCAAATCTTTACAACTTTTAAGTAAATATTTTAACTCTAAGTTCAATTTACATTAATATAAGGGAGTAATGGTTGAGATTTTTTATGAAATGTTAAAATTAAAAAAAAAAAGATATTCAAAATTCTGAATATCAATACACGTGATCTAATTTTTATCACATTTATAATTTGTAGCTAACATATATACTTGTATTAAAATGCTACACTACAAATTTGGAAAACAAAAATATTAAAAGGTAATAATTTAATACCATAAATTTTGGCTGATATGTATGGAAATTAGGTGTAGGGTGAAAGTGAAAGTTAATAGAGAAATAAATAATAAAAAAAGTAAAGAATTAGCCAAAAAGAACAAGTCATAAAGAAAATATTAAATTGCTTAATTAGTACTCAAAACATCAAATCATTGCTTAAATTAGAAGTCAAAATAAAAATTAATTACCTTTTTCCCTGATAATTCTTTATTAGAAGATGATTGAAACACTCTCTTTACTGATGAGAACCAGCCACTCCCTTTTTTCCCCATCTCCTGGAAACGAATAAGCTAATTAATTGAACACAAACAAAATATAAATTAATTAAAATCATCTAAAATGGCAACAATTAAGGCTTAATAAATTAGAAAATGCTAAAGATAATGAAGAACCAAAATGAATCTTCACCCCATTTACTCCATTAATGTATCCATCATCTAAATTATTTTAAATCAATATTACATTCTTTTCTCATCTAAAACTAAAATCACAATTTAATGTGTATTCATATATTTTTCAGCTGATAAAATCCAAATTTAAGGAAAAAAACTTAAAAATTAAATAACTGTATAAACTAAAAAGTAACATACATGAGAAAATATGAAAACAACTGATCTGCAATCAGAATTTAATGCAGATTTAACATAGAGTTGCAGTGATTTTCATATAAAAAATCTACATTTTTTAGCATTCAAGGGAAAAAAAAAAATACAAATAAAATGTCTTACACCCGTCGTGAGTGAAAACATAAAATCAACTCATACATAAGAAAAAGGGATCCGTATATAAAGAAGAGCAACTTTGAAATAAAAGACGAAAAAAACCCAGAAAAGAGAATTAGAAGGTAATGTATAATATATATAAAGAGATGGAATTGGAGAAAACGAACCTGAGAGGAGGAAGAAAGGAGTTAGTCATGGCGGAGAGAAGTTTTGAGAATCATTTTTTTACATGCATTTGAGAGATAGGAGTTGGAGTTGGGAGTTGTTTTGTTGATCGATCTGATGATGGAAAACTAGAGGTAGTTATAGTTGAGAGAGAAAGAGTGATAAAAGAAAGAGAGAGAGAAAGAGTAGTAACTAGAATCCCCGCGCTTCCGCCGTTGTTATTTATCGAATTCACGGGGGCTCTTTCCAAATTAAAAATAGTTGGCGTTGAGCCTTTCTGATTGATTACCTCACGTCACCTCACCCTTTTATTTTCTACTACTCTATTTGGAAATTTCTGTGCTGCGTTCCTCATATAATAATTAATAAATACGATAAATACTTACAATTTACCCCTTGAGGTATCATGAAATAACAAGTTTCCCCTCAGGTCAGTTATCTTAAATAATATTTTACCCCTTCAAGTCAATGTTTGACTAATACATTTTACATTTTAAATTTAATAATAATGTTGAGTAGAATTAGATCAAATCTAATCTTTAATTAAATAAAAAGTAAAACTGCGATGAGTTGTTAATAAAAATTATATTATTGATGATGTTTAATAGGGGTGTTCAAAATCTTGAACCGAACCGGTTTTTCAGTTCAAGAAAATTCTTGAATCGAACCGAATCGGTTAACCGCTTTGAAAAAATCGGTTAATCGGTTTTGAATCGGTTTTCCCCTTAAATTGGATAAAACTTTTTTTTTTTTTTCCTGAATTAAATTGTGAACATCAACAATATATATCCAAATAAAAAATTAAAAATTCATACATATCCATTAACCACAACGAACAATACATTAAAAATTGATACAAATAAATTTAATTTTTATTTTATTTTAATATATAATATCCATAATGATTATTTACTTTATTTTAATTATATATATATTAGTTAACCGGTTTGCATTTTCACCCAAACCAGAAACCAAACCTAAAATCCGATTTTTTTAATTCGTTGAACCGTAATTGAACTGGTTTTCGGTTCGGTTTTTACATTTTTTTGAACACCCTTAATGTTTAATATGAATATCCTAATTTTATTCTTAAATGAGTAATATTGAAGGTTGTGATTAACGTTCGATATAAAGACAAAATGGGAAGTAGGTTTTAAATACATCATAATATTGTTAAATTTTAAGGAGAGCTACAGTAGTTGGGGTAGGAATAATTGGCGGTGAGAGATATCACATTCTACTTTACACCAAATTTCATAAAAATACCATGTAATAATAAATTCTAAAATTAAGACTGGTTTAGGATTAATGAATATGACACCCAATCTCATTAAAAAAAATTAATTAAGTTTTCTATTGTTATGTGTATATATTATGAGTTATTTGTTCTAAGGTTCCACCAACCAAATAATTTCGACTATCATTTTCTTGAAATTTAGACCTAATTAAATTCATCCATCAATTCATCAAGTTAAATTAAATTAAGTTTGCCTCGTTTTCATTTAGATCTATAGGTTTTATCAATTTGGTTTGGATATCAAACATCCCTAATTAAAATCACAATAATAATAATAATAATAGTTAGTCCAATTAATATAAAATTGAAAATAAATGTAAAGTTTATAAGACTTTCATTTTCAGACTTGTTAATATTAGCAGGCAAACAAAAAAAATCATCAATAATGCAAGATCACATGAAGTCCATGTTGCTCATTAGTCCCGTGACCATTTTATGTTCTTTTTCTCCCTTTCTAATTCTACTATGACAATTGAACTTTTATTTATATAAATTCTTTTATACATTTCAAGGAAGAGATATTATACTGTTTTTAGTGCTTCTGAAATCTAAAAATTATTTCAAGTAATAAATTAAATATGAGTCGGGATATTATGACTTAACATAATTTTTAATACTTTTTACGCACCATTCATCGTATACAATCTAATGACATGAAGAGATACCAAGTTAATATCAGACCTAATTACCTTCGATTAACAAAAATAAAATAAATGCAACCCCACATCAAATATCTTGATCTTTGAACTCATATTAAATGCTAATATCACAAGCAATAACTACAAAACTAAATTATATTTTGGTATCATCATGTTGTTTTGTTGGGTTTGGAGCATTAATAAATACATATTATAATTGTTGAATGTGAAGTCTCTTTCATATAACCATATTAAGGGCAATATGGTTCCACCACAAATAAATGTCCTTTCTTTCCTCTTATGTAAAAGTGTTGGTTGAGATTTCAAAGAGAAAAATAAAAGAGTTTAAAGGAGTTAGATAGCACATTGCTTGCATTAAAGCATAATTATAAGCAATAATAATAAGAGTATAGGCTTAGTTGTGTGCCTTTCTTCCTTTTGATAGCTAACTTTTGAGTGTGTGGTGACCATTTGACAATTGACAATTGACAAACACCTTCAACCAAATTCATTATGTAACTGTTCAATTATTTATTATGGGACAAGTTTATTACATTTTCACCCGTGAGGTTGGATGAAAAAAAAAAAAAAAAAAGTGTTCTTTATCTAATGCTAACACCCCTAAATAGAGATTCTGTCGGTTTAACATAAAGGTGCAATTTATCATTTTACATTTAAGAAATTTGTAATATTATCAAAATACCAAAAGTTCTAATCATTTGTCCATAACTTTGAATCATTTATTAAAAATGCTAACAATGTTTTACTCTTAACATCTTTTCTACCTCTTGAACGTTAACATTTAACTAACAAAATTATTATTCGGAAGTAGCAACCTTGAACCATTAAATTTAACTAACGAAACTTGTCTAGGAGTGAAAGCATTAATTTCCCAAAATTAAGGGGAAAGCATTTTCCTATCAAACCTTAGGAGCAACGTTGTAATAAATCCTCATGAGACCTAATTTACGTGTGCTTACTTCAAAATTAATTGCATTCATAAGAAAATATATTGGGACCATTGATATGATCTGTGATCATGATAAAGGGTACACATAAAATTGTTCAACAGTTGTGGAATAACAATATTAATTTTTTATTTTTAAAGAAATCTTTAGTGGCCCACCTCAACTGTCAAAAAATAGATAAATGTATATAGTTAATTATTTTTTAATCACAATAGTAATTTATTTTTGTTTTCAGATTGGTAATTGTATCAATTAATAGAGTTTGTGTTTGCTATGTATAAAGGATAAAATAGTAATTTGACAATATGGTAATACTTTAAATCAATAATAATAACTTATGATAACTTTACGTATAAAAAGTAGAGATCTGGACTTTGGATGTTTAAGTCTTGATTGATTTGGCATTATGACTTTCAATGCGTTAATACTATATTAATATAATAAAATAATATTCTTTATAATTATTTATCTTATAAATATAGAATTGTTACATCAACAATCATATTAATTAAAATCTCAACTTTTTATATAAGATAATAATAAATATTTTTTAAATGATGGTTAAGTGTGGGTTGTAAGCAATTAATGAAGAAACAATGATTTGTGGTCAACCAACTAAAGTGAAAGATAGCAGCAACTTAATGCAATTATGAATAAAATGAACCTTTCTTCACATTGCATTAAGGTAGGTGCAACCAATTTAAAATCATATAAACTTATGTTTTCTTCTTTCTATTATTTTTAGTATCAATTAAGTAATTACCAAATCGGTTTCTGATTGATCAACAAAAAAAAAAAAAGTTTTACATATCTAATATCTTAATTCGGTGGCTGTTAATAGAAGTGTCTTAACGCAAATTTAATGGAGAATCAAAAGCTTATATATTATTAAAACTAAATCTAAGATTTTCTTATTAAGGGATTGCTTACCGAGCTAATATATTATTAAAACTAAAAATAAAAAATGAGGGGCGAGGCCAAAAAATTAATATTTGGGAGTAATAATAAAATTTTCAAATATATATAAAAAATATGTTACTAGGAAATAACATTTAATAAAGAAAAAAATGAACAACGTTGTTTTTAATTAAAGAATTTAGAAAAATAGACGAAGAGAACATTTACAACAATTGAATTGATAGAGTAAGATGAATTTTATCAAAAAAAAAAAAAAATGTGGAAGGAATTTGTTGATGCTTGATTTTGACACCAACGACTCACATGTGCAAAGTGCTAAGTAAGCTTAGAAATTACACGTGGTATGAAAATATGAAGCGAGAGAATAAATAAAAAGATAGTTTTTAAAGTGGTTCGGATGCTCATAAGGGAATCTTACGTCCACTGTAGTTGTATTAATAGATGGTTATAGTTAGGTCGCGTACAGCGAGCTGAGTTACAATCTAGAGAGAATATAGAGAGAGAAAGAGATAATGTATGATGTTTAAGACTAAAGATAAGTCAATCCCATAAATGAGAGAGGAGCCATCTATTTATAGTTGGAGGATTCAAGGTAATAATCATGAGTCTGCAGTCCAACAGGTGTGGTATAATTCCTAACCCGCTTTCCATTGGTTGTTTGCATGAGAGACGTCCTTAAATTGCGTAGGGCTTGGGCAGGTGGATGATTCCTAGCCACTCGCAAGTCTGGCATTCACCTGTTGCACTGACGAGAACCATACATCTTCCGCCATTACGCGACGAGGTAGCGTCTAGACGACATAAAGCCTCCTTGAATTCTGATTGGCCCTTACTAACGAGAGCCTACATCAGCCCTAACTTTTTAGGCATAAAAGAAGCCCCCTAGTTTTTAAGGTTTAGGATTGAACCTTGAGAACTTCATGATTAGGCTGCGACTTGACTTCTCCCGAATGACGCTTGATCGAGCTAATCGAGCCGTAAGGAGGTCACAACATAAGTCTCTAAGAATAACACAAGCAACCTGAGGCGGCTTTCTCCCACAGGTTCAGCGACCTGGGTCAGATCCTACTCAGTGCCATACTGACATGCGTTGAATCTCATCTGCGACTTGTGACCTGAGAATACTTAGCACATTTTTATCGAAAGCAAGGAATCACATCGTCTCTAAATCGATACACGGCGAAAAGTGTTTTACTCGAACGACCTCTTCAGATATTATCCGTTGCACTTGATAGCTAGTTTGGTCAATAAAATAATCTTTATTTTGACAGACGTGTATGTTGCACAATAAGTGCCAGTCATGCGCATTAAATGCAAGCCATGCTAAAACGACATTCTCTTTTAGAGCATTAAATGTGGATAAGGGTGCATTTAATGTGGAGGAGGTAACCGCCCCAACGTTTGGTTG